ACTCTTCCAGGCCCTTCCGAGGCAGCGTAGTGTGCAGAAGCCTTACGTGGCAAAGGGGCTCGGCCTGCGCCAGGCTCTCGTGGCGCCGGTTCTGCGTGAAGCTGCGTAGCGATTAAAGGAAAAGCGACGTTTCATAGGAAAAAACAGCATTCCGTTCGTACAGCCGGAATCCTTCCTTCTCCCCGGGACTCCCGCCGCAACCCGCGCCTCCAGCCCGGCTCTGTCGGCAGCCCCCCGCCCTGTACGCACCCGGGCAGTCCGGCAGCCGCTGGGCCCGGGCGCGCTCCAGTCAGCCGCAGCGCGACCGCGAGGCGCCGACCCAGGGCGGCCATCGCCGTGGCGGCCGCCATCTTCCCTCGGCGCCGCGGATGGCGTCTCCCGAGAGCGCCGGAAGTAGAGGTGACGCTCTGCCCTCTGCTAAGATGGCGCCCGCCCAGCTTCAACCGCGTCATCCGGCTCCGCCCCTGTGCCAGTCCCGGCCATGGCGGCAATGAGCCTGGTACTGCGGGCGGCCGCTGCTTGGGGAGCGCGGCGGGCGGCGGGCTGCGCTCGTCTCCCCCGCCTCTCCGGGGCCGTCCGTCTTCCCGGCACCGTCGGTAGGGTCTTAGTGGCTGTAGGAACGTAGGGTGGGGAGCGTTGGGTGCGAGGTGACCTTGGGGAGCGGAGGGAAAGGTGACCCGGGCAGGGGAACGGGAGGCCGCGGCGTGGGGCGTGGGGCGTGGGGCTGTGGCGGCAAGCGGGGACCGCACTGGGGCTGTGCCGGGGCCGTGACGAGGGCTGCGCTGTTGGCCTCGGCCTGGTGCGGTCGCTGACGGGATTAATGTGCCGTGCTTTGGTTCTGCTTTCAGCTCCGGTGCGATACAGCAGTGGCCATGGGAAGAGAATGTTTATCATCAAGGCGACGAGCTTTTACGACACTCGGTTTCTGAATATGCTGGTGAGTAAAGGCAGGCTGAACGTATTTGGTGTAACACCCCGTTGTGTGTCAGAATGCCTAAAATAGAATTTCTGCTGGCGCTGTTCACACGAGTAAGAATTGTCTGTCCTGTGCTGTAACATCAGAGTCTGGTGAAGAGCAAAAAGAATCAGGATGGAGCGTGGGGGAGAAGTTGCGATGAGTGGTTGAGCTGATGCTGCGTTAGCATTCTTAAAATGTGTGTCTGTACTCATATATGCATAATCTGCAGCTGCTTTCTAGTTCAACCCTCTTTTCAAAACATCTTAGGTTACTTTTCTGCAGGATTTGCCTCCAGTTGTCAATAACATGAGAGATTTAGCCTAAGGAATGTGACCCAAGTTCAACCCTTGAGAAGCAAGGTTTTGGATAAAGCCCATTATGATGAGTAATAACCAACCTGATCCTGCTCTGTTAGTGTGATTGGGCTTCCTTTATCTGTCTTCTGCAGTTACCAAAGTGAGCAGTGCCATATTCCTGTTGGATGATATTGCACTGGTGTTAGTGCCTCGTTACTGTGAAATGTTGAATGAAGCCAGTCCGCAGCAGGTGCTGAGGCAGTGTATGGGGAAAGCATTGCTATCTGCTTCTGCAGACACTGACCTCTTTGGAAGATTGAATGCTGAATTAAATGGGCCCATGAACTGATACAGCATCACTGTTCATTTGTTAATTAACTAATTTTAATCAGCAAATGGCACTACATTTCTGTCTGGACCATGAGTGTGAATCTAAGAATTACTGGCAGTGTTACATAGCTTTCAAATTTATTTCATCTAACTTTTGTCAAGTTTCTGACTTTTCCATGTTGTTTTTTCTTCTTTTTTTTTTTTTTTTCTTTTACAGAGATTCTATATATTTCTGACAGGAATACCAGCACTAATTTTCATAACATACGTCAACATCTTCATCGGTGTGTGCTCTCTCGTGACTAAGCTAAGTATATGATCATGATTAGTAAATGCATAAATGGAAATTAAGCACGCTGGATAGAGAAAAAACAGATCTTTTGAGGACCATGAAATATGCCTAACATCTATGGTAATACTGTATAAGCACTGAGAAATACAAGTCCAGTTTTTCTCTATAGTTTAAGTTGAGAGATTAGGTATTTTTCACGTGAATTTGTGATTTATGTTTTTTAATGCGAAAGGCTGAATATGAAATACTTGAATAAATAACTGTATGAAATGATCCTTCCCTGTTTTCTTTATCAGGTGAAGCTGAACTTGCAGAGATTCCTGAAGGTTATATTCCAGAGCACTGGGAATACTATAAAGTGAGTGTAGTGTGTAAAAGAGTAGTGTGAGGAACAGCTTTCCTCTTAGTACTAGTTTTGGGAGTAAAATGAATGGAGACTGGTTATGAGAATGGACGCATCCCTACCACTAGGTGTAGCAGAGCTCAAATTGTCAGAAAACTCAGAGTTCTTGCTGTAAGCACTTTGGTTTTGATAAAAGGCAACTGAACTCAGCAGTAATACTATGGCTGTTTCAACTCATTCAGACTTTTATTCCCAGTGAAATGACTTTGTATGGAAGCAGTACTTGAAAATGTTACTGGTTACAGTTAGAGGTTTGGAGTCCTTTTCTGTGATGACAGTGGCAGTTCATAGAAATTTATTTCAAAGAAAGAAAATAAATCAAGTGTCTCCTGTTAACTTATTTTTAATTTTGTCATGAAATTTTATTCTACAGCTTATCTTGGCTTTAAAAACTAGCAAAATATACCATTTTAAAGTTCTGATCTTACAAATAGTTGAGCATGTTTTTAATCTTCCTATTATTGCTTGAATGAGAGCACCCATAATGTTGATCATGTCTTCAGGACTGGGAACATGCCAAATAGTTTCAGTATGATGGCAGTTCTGTTTGGAAATTCCATTAATAACTTCTGTTTTTATATTTTCCAGCACCCTATAAGTCGGTGGATAGCTCGTTACCTCCTTGACCCACCTGAAAAGAACTATGAGAAAGAGATGGCTTTCATCCACATTGAAGCACAGAAGACTGAAATGAGGTACGTTAGACAGTTAAGGTGCTTTTAAATGCTGCTACATAATATAGTTTGTTTTGTTAGTTGGATGCTGGCACAGAGTACCTGTTTGCTTATACATCACTTGAGCTTTCATGCTTTCTGCACTGGCTGGTGCTACAGTGGAAGTTACAGTGTCTGTAATCACTGCCTTCTTAGTATTAAGATCACCAATGCTGAAATAATCCAAGGGCAGTCTTGTAAAATAACATTCTCTTTGTATTTTCTTATTACCTGTGCTTCATTAATATTTATGAGCTGTAGATGCTGAACTCATTGTTGCTCTCAGTATTGGCCGGATGTTAAACATTGATACAAGTCTGATCAAAACCAATAGATTTCATCTTCAGTGTGAGCGGTGCTCTTTCTTTCAGGCTGATGGAGTTGGAGGCACGCAGACTGATGAGACACAGGGGAGATGGACCTTGGTATCAGTACGAAACACCTGATAAAAATCTCGTTGACAATTCTATGAAAGCAACACCTGACAATTGAACAGGTTTAAGGTAGTATGTATGCTTTCAAATGCATACCAACAAATAGTGGCTTATCTGTGGAGCACATATCTTGGAAATAAAAAAAAAAACAAAAAAACGCAAGTAAGTGTTTGTTGATTCTGATATCTTGGAAGAAGTTATGTGAAAGTTCAACTTGTATAGCTGCTGAAGGTATTAGTCAGATAAAATGCCTTATGTCACTTGCTAACAATTAGTCGTTCTCTCCAGAGCTTCAATTCAGAATGGCCCTTTTGCCCTAACATGAAACAAGTTGGTAATTTTGCTAGTTATCATGTGACTTCTACTAGTTTTGAACTTTTAAAGTGAAAGGGCTTCTTTCTTTCATGCTGCCTTGTGTCAAATAGTTTATGAAAAATGAAGTAAGAACAGAAAATTCTTTTAGATCTTTGGAATATCAAGATTGTATCTGTTGTTTTAGACAAGTATTTTCTTTCTCATTGTCTGCAGTCAAACACATCTTTAACTTTGTATGTTGTTCAATGTCTGCTATTATTTTCTCTTTCACTTGCTTGTCTGCTTCTTGCTTTTTCCTTCTCTGTAGTCAGACTCAAAGACTTCTCAAACACAGAGATGAATGACTTATGTGCACTGCTTAAAACCAGACCATTCTCAGTGTAGAAGGAGGTCCTTTTGGAACACATTACATCGCTCTGTTCGTGTTGTTTTTTTTTTTTTTTCCCCTGTTTCTGTATCCCACTTTTGTGAAGTATTTCGGTAGTGAGAACGTTACTGTTTATCTGTCAGCCTTCTGCCGCTAGAGGGATGTGTTCCCTTCGGTTCTAACGGCGGCAGCCCTCAGGTTCCAAATCCATCAGAAGGATGAGGGTAGCATCTCCTGCAGCGTGCGACCCAACGTTGCCACTTTCCAATTTTTAATGGAGAGAAGCCCAAATCCTGTAGCAATCCCTGAATCTTGTGGTTTCCAACTGCTAGAAGTAGTACCAAATAACGTGAAGCAGCGTTACGCGGTCTGTCTTCAGCGAAGCCCGCCCCGTTAGCGCTGCCAGACAGAAAGACGGGATCGACTTTGTCCTTTTTGCCTGCATCGATCTTCCGCGTTACCTCGTCTTTCTTTGCGCGGCGCTCCGCGTTTACAAACGCTTCGTCAGTCACGACAGAGGCCGATAAAGAGCACAATGCTTCCCGGGTAGAACGGCGGATCCCCCGTCCTCGCCCGTCCTTCCGACACCGCGCGGCGGAGCGCAGCCCGGCGGGAACGCCCTGCGGAACGGCGCGAGCCCGGCCTCGCGGCACCTCCCGGCGGCTGAGGGCGGGCGGACGCCGCTCTGCCCCTCCTTCCGCCCCCGCCGGGACCCCCCGGTGCCGCCGCAGCTGGTGCCGCTGCCATCGGATTAAAAATAGCCTCTTCCCTCCTCCTCCCCTCCCCCGGGCCCGGCTCCCGCCGCCGCCGCGCCCTGCCCCGGCCCCGCCGCCCTCCGCCCGCATTGCCCTCGCCCTCCCGCCCGCCGTCCGGAGGCAGGCAGGCAGGCGGCATGCAGCGGGCCGCGCTATTTGGCGGCGGCGGCGACGCGCAGATGGCGGCCGGGGACCTGGGCGAGCTGCTGGTCCCCTACATGCCCACCATCCGCGTGCCCAAGTCCGGGGACCGGGTCTACAAGACGGAGTGCGCCTTCTCCTACGACTCTCCCGTGAGTGCAGCGGTGCCGTCGCTCCCCGCCCGCCCTGCCCCCCCTCGGCCTTCGCCCCTCCGCTCCTCCACCTGCTGCGGCCCCCTCCCCTCAGCCGCCCCTCGCGGGGATCGCGCCGGGCCCCGCTCCCCCTGACCTCCTGGTGGCGGCCGGGATGTGTTTGAGGAGCAGGTGCTCGGAAATGGCTCGTTTTAAACGGAGCTGGGGTCGTATTCGAAATCGGTGCTCCACGTGAGGCTGAGGTTTCCCGGCGGCGATTGAGCGCTCCGCCTCGATGTCCGAATGGCGTCGGTCTGAGCGCAGCTCTGGGGGCTGCGTTACGGAATAGCCAACGAAAGGCGCCTCGGAGATTTCTGTGTCTTTTCCCCGCCTCTTTTCGGTAATTCCTTCTAACGCAGAAAATCAAAAATTGGCTTTAAAGGTGACTCAGCTGTCTGGTGCTCATCAGTCCTTGTTGTAGGGAGGTTATTTTTACCGTGCACTTCGGCTCTCAAGTGTCACCCAGCAGCCCTGGCTGCGGGCGGTCTGATTAAAGCTGCCCCTCAGACCCTGCTGCAAAGGCGCTAATTGCGTTATGTGCTTAACAAGTTTTGTTGGTTCCTTGCGGAGGGGGAGTCAACGCAGTTCTGTTGTTTCCTGGGGCTCCTCAGCCCATACTGCTGAGTTTGATTGGGCAAAATATTTCATTTTTCACTCCTGTGTAATCTAATGGATCCTTGGGTGCTGCTTTTGGGATGACAGTTCTGAGGGATGAATGGGTGCTTTCTCAAGTGAAACACTTTTGAGCACAGATTTGAAAATTGCTAGCTTTTGTTTTTAACTTTAATTAATTCTTTAATTAAGAAAGAAAGTGTAGGAAGGACTCAGCTTGTTGCCTTGGCTGAACGAAGGTGTTGATCCTGGTGTGCCTTGTATCACAGTGGCTTAGCGACTTCTTTTCTTAGGTCAGCTCCGTATCACCACAGTGAGCCTCCCCCTATGGAGCTGTCTGCCCTTTGTGAAAGAAGATACACAGGTGTTTACTCTTGCTTCAGTGTTAATGCAAACAGTCCGTGTTTAAAAACACATCCTTCTGGTTTTTATTATCTAAGGTAAGATTACAGGTTCCCTCCAGCGATGGGCTGAGAAGCTGCAGTTGCCTTTTGTACACTTTCGTACAACTGGAATGATAAAATTCCCTGCCTCTTATTTCTCAGAGTTGATGCACAGCCCTTCTGGTGACCTGTGCTGTTGTGATGGGGATTTATTCTTTCTCGCTTTGTCTGCAGTGACCTCTGGCAGATGAGCTTGACTTTATGTACTCTGGTGAAACTCTGGAGGAGGAAGACTGCATTTGCGTAGCCATTTGTTCTTTTACTGTTAGTTATTTTTACAGAGCTATAATATTCAACTGGAAAATCTACCTTTTAATGGGATTCTCATCTCAAAGACTTCTGATAGACCTGTGACATTGGAAGGAGAGGTGCTAGAAAAGGGATACAAACTGGAGTGTAAGAAAGGCTTATGTGCAGAATGTGCATGTTGTAGGTGGTGGTGCTCTGAAGCATTCCCCACAAAGGGCACAGGTTGCTGCTACAGCACAGTCCAACAGAAGCAAGGTGTCTGGTTCAGTAGGTGGCTTGGGTCCTGTACATGTAGATACAAGGTTGTGTATGTTTATGCAACTGAAAACTTGGCTTTGCTCTGCTGGAAAACCTTGCTGCTGACAGCAGCTTCCTTTGTGCATCTTGCTGACTTCATTATTGTGGCTTGAGAACTCTGTAATGGTTGTGTTAGGACAATTCCAAAGACTAAAGTGGGCTGATTGCTGTTTATTAGACAGCACAACTGAGACTGCAGTCCTTGAGAGCTCACAGTGTGCGTGGATATTGATGACTGCTTCATGTAACTGCCAGAAATAAATCCTGCCTGTCTGGGTGTTCCTTTGGTCAGTGTTCCCTGGAGAAAATTAGAAAGTCTCTGCGGCCACTGACTGAGAAGAGTAGGCAGATGTCGTGCTTATGTTGATGGGCTGCAAGTGGCAGTGAGGAAACAAATAAGAGGACTGAATATACTAAGACAAATTGATTTCTGCAGGCAGATGTTTTTGGCCTCATTGCAAAATGACTTCAAAACCACTGAGGCAGTGAATTGGTTTGCAGAATGCTAATCTGCAAGAATCAGAGCAGTGTTGTACTATTGCATCTCAGGGAGATCTGTCTGGTGGTCAAATCTTTCCTCAAACTGTTTGGGGTTTTGCGTGTTGTAGTCACAAAGTGAGATCAAATAGTAACTTTGTAGAGGCTTTTTTTCTTTTTCTCCTGGCTGACCCCCCAATTCTCCCATCTCTCATCGTTCACTGGTTCCGGTAGTACGAAGTCCTTTTCACTGCTAGCATGTATTTTTAGAGCAAACTTGAAAGTGAACTTTCTGTTTTGCTGGGAGCATCTTTATGTGCTGTTGTATTCAGTTGGTTGGCAAATTTGTTTTTTGTCATGTTTCTATGTCAGTGGTGATGATGCATGACAGAGAGACAGCTTCATTATGAGGTATTAAACATTGTTTAGATGAATGTTAAGTACTGAAACTTCTGTTATTCATTTTAAGCCTGTCTTGAAACAAAAGGTCTGCCATTTAGTTACACTGTTGTGGAACTTGATGCAATATGTGTATGCTAGGAATGTTACTGTCACCGTTCCAAATATATTACATATTGGGCTGTCATTCTACATCAGGAGCCTTGTGGACACAGCCAGATTAATTATGGTGATTACTGATGAACAGACACTCTGATTAGAGCCTGTAACAGTTCTTCATGGTCACATTTTTGTAGATGTGGCAGAATGAGTAATCTGTCCTGACTGGGACTTCATAGGCAAAAGGATGAACAACCTCTTCATTCCTTGTGTTTGAGATACGGAGACTCAGTGGGACTTAAATTGCAATCTTACTCTCTTCTCTGATACTCTTATTAGCAAGTTTCTCATTCTGGGTCTGAAGCGAACAGCCGTACAGCAGTTGTGCCAAAGTCTGTTAGGGTTTGCCACATTAGTAGATCCACCACACCAATTCTGTTTTTATGAATTTATTGTCTGAGCCATCTTAGTCTGAGCTGAAACTGCTAAACCTTGGACTGCGGTGAGGGAACTAAGTGGCTCAGAATTGGGTAATAGGATACAGGTCAGTAGTTCAAATCCTTATTGAGTTAGTAGTGTTTGAAAGCTGTTGGTGTCTGTGCCATGAGTGTGTTTGGAGTGAGGTGTCTCTGTCTCCTGGTGGACTCATGTTTGTGTTTCCCAGACCCCTCATTCTCTAGCATTCCTGCTGTTTTTCAGCCTGAGAAGGGACTTTCTGTCACATTTTAGCTATTTGCTGTGAATTCTTTACCCCTTTAATTCCTCATCCTACCTCTGTAAACCATGAAGTATCATCTAAACAAGAAAAATGAATTTTTTAAATGCTTTTCTCCCTGTCGTGGTCAGCATATCTCCTTCTCTATTAGTAAAGCATCTGGTGTGCTGTGACTGTGACCAGCTTAGCAGCAAAGAGCAGGAAGAATCAGAGTGAAGAGCAATTGCTTTCCCTTTTGTTGAGGATAAGAAGTCTGCTCTGCTCTTGAATGACCTTCTGAGTGCAGTGATCAAGGCCTGAGCAGAGCAAGTGCAAGCCCTACTACTCAGACTGGACTAGAAAGGGAAGACCATGTCTGCATACCACTTTGTCCTGAGCTCTCTTTTTGCCTCTTTTTGGGCAAGAGTGCAGGGGGAAAAAAAAGCAACCAAAACCTGCTGAAATTCCTGTTGCTGTCTCTCAGCACAAGCAGCTGTAATCTTCTGTGTAAAATAGCATTGTCAGTGATAGAGATACATTGCTTTTCTCCAGCATGAACTTTCAGGTACGTCTGAACTAAAAGTCAGTTACGAAGAGTTATGTGCCTACGTCAAATGTTGATCCTTTGAACTGGTTGTTTTCAGTAGGGTTAAATTGACCAGCACTGAATTTCTCTTACATCAGGCAGGCGTGCTTTGAGCACCAAGCAGGATCTTATCCTTTGTGCAGCACTATGCATAGGTGACTTTCTTACCTGTGCCTCTTTTTTGCAGTGACCTTTTGAACACTCTGTCCACTTCTTTCCAAGTTGCGTGAGAGAATAGTCTGCCTGTGTTCTCTGGGAGAAATAACTGTTCTGTTAGTAACCACAACCAACTGAATCAGGCTCTACATTTAGCTCATGTGCTGAAAGTGTCAGATTGTTGTCATAGGCTGCTTGTCAACACAGGTTCCGTGGTCTCATGGGTTCCCTCCAGAAAAAGAGAGAATGGTCTCCAAGAAAACAAAATTGTAAACAAAGTTCCTGAAACTGTGGAGTGACAATGGAATATATTTTTATTTAGGCTGGCTTACATATGGGATTTTCTTCCAGAGAACACATCTTTGATTTTTTCACAGAAGGTGATAATTCAACAGGATTTGGAATACAGGCTGTAAAACCAGACAGCCAAGCTATAACAGCCTTAAAGTAGATAAACCTGAGAATTGAGTGCATGGAATTTAAAATCAATATATTGCATTTTAAATATAATTATATTTATGACTATTTTGAAAACTAGATGTGGGATTTCCTTTTTCACCAACCTCCTTTACTCAGACAACATAGACGTTGGTCTTGGCTGTCAAGGTTTCCAAATTTCATGGTGGATTTTCCTGTAAAATAAAATCTCAGGTAGTGTTTTGCAGATCAGATCTGAGATGGCTAAAGAGGTAACCTCGTGCTGTGCAGAGAGACCATCATTGGGATATCTAAGTTGCTAAATGCATGGCTTTATGCCACATGTTAGGTATGAGCAGCAGAGTCTAAATGCTTGCTTCACCTCCCAGATCAGAATCCTGCAATGCTCAGGATTCAACTTTCTGTGCTGCTCACGTGGGTAAAGCCAAAGCGTTCATTGCATGTTCATCCTTCAGCTAAATCTGAAAAGCCAAAGCTTGTATGCAGTGCTTCACATTAAGAGAAGCTGTGATCTGCCAGACTTGTTCTCCTCTGCTTGTTCCACTGGACAGGACTGGAGCTGTGCAACTCGTGCCTCAGCTGGTGTGGCAGGACAGGCAGCTTTGTGCTCCCCCTGTGGTGGTTCTGGCTGCTGGAGTGCTGAGGAGAAGTGCAGCTGGCAGGAGAGAACATCTTGGTTTGTTGCACTGAATGTGTTTCAGGTGCTCTCAGGTAGTATCCTGTCAAAACAGGTGTTGCTATGACAGTTCTCATCAATACAGAATTGTATGCGTGAGCCTACTGTCATGTTTAGGAGTGATCAGTAGCCTTCTTCTAGAGATACTGATTTTTATTTTATATATTTTTTTTCCCCTCTACGATGTCTGCGGGTTAATTTAGTTCATGCTATTCCTGAGGTATTTAACAGGGGATGTTCTGTACCATCCAGTAGCACAGATGAGATCACAATAGAGGGAAGGTCACAGTGCTTGGGAAAGGCTCAATCTTTGTTATGCACCACCTATTCAAAACAATATGTGCTAGAGAGAGCTTGAAAAACTGACCCCAAACCAATGAGCTGGATGACTGAAAGTCCTCCTGGCAGTGGGAGTGATGTAGGACAGATCTGGCAGCAGTGTTACAATGGAACGAGTTCCGGACACCAGCCAACATCAATACCCAGCTTTTGGGAGGGTAAAAGGTAGTGGGACTCCTGCCAGGCTGTGCTACTGAAACGTCAGTGTTTGTACTCAGTGCCGGGAGTACATCTCTGCTGTCCCTTTGTGGTGCCTTCATCTCCAAGAACTCTTATTTGTGGAAGGAGAGAATCTCTTTCAGATAATAAACAATGTTCATGAAACATTTACTGACTTTTGTTAACCATTTTTAAGAATTAGAAGATCACCTGAGATCTACTTTTTTTTTAGACAAGGTTGTGATTAACAGTTGTTTCTGAATCCAAGGATTTAGACCTGCCACACTTCTGTTTAGGAGCATCATTCTTGCGATCTAACGCTCTCCCTCCCCCCGCCAAGAATTTGACCAAATGTCTGTGTTATGTTTTTTCTACGCCTTACACATTCCTATGCCTAGAAATCCTCATGGATTGAACACTCAAATTGGGTTTTTTAACAGTCTTCTAAACCTCCAACTTGGGTGCTCGCTAATCTGTAGTTGAAACATAACTAGTTTCATTGGGTTTCTATAGATTGTGATGTGGCTCAGAAGGTTCTTAGGGGGCTCGTAATGTAAGTCAGTTGTGATGTGATATGAAAACCACGATTTAAGTGCTTGCAAGAAGGATTTGCATTTCTTTGCTTTTTCTGCTTGCTGAGTCCTTTTTGTCCTTTCAGTTCCTTCTATGCTGTAACTGTTTGTGTCGTTCCTTCTAGGATTCAGAAGGAGGTCTCTATGTGTGCATGAACACGTTTCTGGGATTTGGAAGGGAACACATTGAAAGGCATTACCGGAAAACAGGACAGTGTGTATATTTGCATCTGAAACGACATGTGATAGAGGTGAGACTTGTGGCTTCCCAACTAACTAGCCTGGCAGATCTTCTGTCTCTTGCTTGTTTCAATAACATATTTTTGGCATAGACCAAATCTTGAACGACAGAAATGGACATGTTCAGATGCGGAGCTGGATATTAAATTCAGGTGCTTGGATCACAAACTAACATACAGTTCCAGCTCTGAGATGAGTCACAAGCCCCAAAGGGGGTTTAAGCTCCCCGTAAAGGCAGATTTTGCCCAAAGATGCATGTAGTTGCCTGACTTCTACTGAACTCTTTCACTGTATGCTTCCACATGTTACATATATGTTGTGTGTTACTGAGTGCTTTTTAGAGGTCTGCCTTTGAAGTGTAGAATTACTGGTTTGGCTCAGATTTGGCTGGAAGTTTCTGAGATTTTTTTAATGAGATTTTGGCTTAGGATGACATGAGTTCTTTTAAGATTCCTATGCCATTAAATCATGAGCCTTAATTGTGATTTGACTTGTGATCTAAATCTTAAATTAATGCTAGTTCCTAGAGCTTACACACTGCCTTTGTTCAGTCCTACCCCTGCACACATATAGATGTATGCACACAAATTTCCTGTTTGCTGTTCTTCCATCATATCATTACATATCAGTAATAATTTATAACCAGTGCTTCATGACATCTGTTCTTGTGTGCTTTGTCTTTAAAGAGCTGCTTATGCTTTCTGACCTGAACTTTATGGAAGGCACTGGGTTTGTTTATAGCTTGCTCTCCTGTGAACTCTGTCTCTCTTGGACACTTAGAGGCCTTAGAACAGCTACTTGGAGTGGGATAGAATATTTCACTTTTCTCATTCTAAAGCAATGTTTCCCTGAATGGTGAAGACCTGAGTTATGTAAAATGACCACTAATTTTATTTTCCATAGATAACTGTTCATATTCTGTCAGAACTATAATGAGGTGGATTGTATGTCTCTCATGTGGAGACTGTTAATGATTGTTATATTTTAGAACTGTCCTACCTTGTAAGGCTGAAAGCTGCATTTTCTTTTGCAGTGTTAACTGGATTTTTGGAAAACCTGGTCTAGTTCTGGCTAGACTAACAGTTCTTCTGAGTGAAGTTTTCACTTTTTAAATATCTGTGACTAGAAACCAGTAGGCAGGTGCTCTGTCAGCATTTTTTGAATTTAACTTTCTTCTAGTATGTGACCTGTGAATTTTCTATTTTAAAGTAAACTGGAATTAAAATAAGGGCTCAAAAACTCCTTTCCTGGATGAAGATTTGGCTGAAGAACTTCAAAAGGGAGAGATAAATAACCGATTGTTGTTCATTATTGCATACAGAATCATAGGGTGTGGAAGGGACCTCTGGATGTCATTGAGTTTTACACTGCTGCTAAAGCAGGTTCTCCAGAATAGGTTGCACAGGAGAGCGTCCAGGTGGGTTTTGAGTATCTCATGAGAAGGAGACTCCACAACTTGTATAGGACAAACAACCTCTATGCACATCCTGCTCCAGTGCTCTCTAACCCTAACAGTAAAATAGCTCTTCCTCACGTTCAGGTAGAACTTCTTATGTTCCAGTTTGTACCTGTTGCCCCGTGTTCTGTCTCTGGGCACTATTGAAAAGAGCCTGGCTCCATCCATTTGACTCCCACACTTCAGGTATTTGTAAGTGTCAATAAGTTTTCCCCCCCTCAATCTTCTCCAGGCTGAGCAGTTCCACGTCTCTCAGTTTTTCCTCATATGAAAGATGCCCAAGGCTCCTCATAATCTTTGTGGCCCTGTGCTGGACTCCTTCTTGAAGTTCCTTGTGTTTCATGAACTGGGGAGCCCAAAACTGGACCTGGTGCTCCAGAGGGGAAAGTCACCTCCCTTGATCTACTGGCCATGCTCTTTTTAACGCACCCCGGGATACCGTTGGACTTCTTGGCCACAAGGGCATGCTGCTGGCTCATGGTTAACCTGTTCTCTGCCAAGATGCCCTACTCTTCTCCACGGAGCTCCTTTCCATCAGTTCAGCCCCTAACCTGTACTGATGCACACCGTTGTTCCTCCCCAGGTGTAGGACTCTACACTTAACTTTGTTGAACCTCATAAAGTTTCTCTCTATTCAACTCTCCAACCTGTCCAGGTCTTGCTGAATGACAGCTCAGCCTTCTGGTATGAAGTACACCTTGAGTGGAACTAGTTCAGAGGTTCCTGGTGGTTTTTTTTTTTTTTTTCCTTGTGAATCATGATGTAGCGGAGAAGCCTGGCATCTATGTTTGAAGGTGGTGGTACACTGGATCATGTGGTAGGAAACAACATTTGGCTATGTTGTACTGGTGAAGACTATAATCTAACTTGGCTCTTAAATAAAATTCCTCTTAAGGTAGCTATGGATTTTGTTTACCATGACAGTTTAATTCTTACATGCTATGCGTGTTTTCCTTTGAGCAACGTAAAACATCATAAAACTGTTCCAGTGAAGGCCTGAAGTGTCTGGCATGTACTGCATTGTGGTTTTGGTTTTTAATCCAAGGTTTTGATGGTGTGTGGTACAGTAAAGCCCAAGGCATTGGTTATACTGCCTAAAGATTCTTTTAGAGAGGCAGCTATTCTTCCCTGTGATTCCCTTGGCATCATCCTCACAGAATGTACTGCATTGCTGTGGAAATCCTCATTTTCTTCCAAAGATGTTTGGAATAATTATCTATTATTCCAGTTTTGTCAAAACTCAATTGGAAAACAAAGATCAGATCTATAACCTTTAAGCTTAAATAGTGGTAGAATATCTGTCAGTTGCACATCATCATCTGAGACATCTGATGAATCATCAGAAAAAATTAATTAAAACAACAAAATTGATTTTGCTTTTTTTTTTTTCTTTTCCCTTTATAATTTCATTTTTCAGGGTTTTGAAACTAGTAACCCTTATGCTGTGTTTGACTGTTGCATATGACTGCCTTGTCAGCACAGGGCAAAGCTTTAGCTTGGTGCTATGGACCTACTGAAAACACAGGACAGAGAAACATGTAATTTCTTACAGTGATTGGTTCCTGGATGGTATCAGTGACATCAGTGTTATGGAAAAACATAGCAGTGTTGCAGTTAAAGGAAATGTGGGGTCGGCTGAAAGACATCTGGTGTGAGAAACTGCAAATAGAATTTAGTGCCACTACTCTTATTTGCTGGGATCACATCTGCTAGAAGACAAATTGCTTTGTGAGTGGGGAGCGTTCTCGATAATTTCTGATAAGTAGAGAAGCAAATTCAAATACTGTCAGGTTCTGAGGTTTTCAGGATTATTGAACATCTGCAATTCTACTTGAGATGTAATCAGAGTTTTCTTTTTGGAAAAATGAAGCTATGTTGCATGTTAGACTGGCAGTGATTGAAACTCTCCACATAATTCTTCCTCTTTGAAATCCCTATTCTTAGTGATTATCACAACATCCCACTTGGAGACATTAGAATTTAAACTGAGCTTTTCAGTGTTGGAAACAACTCTTCTTAGTTCTGAAGCTATGATCTTGGCAGTATGTGTAATATATTCATTACATCTTTGCAACCAGCTTATACTGTATCTTGCTTTTATTAAGTAGATTTAGATTCGTGACTATTTCCGCTTGTTAAATGCTAGTAGTTTGAAGAAAGAAATGCTCTGCTTTTATTTTAACTTCATTAAGCAATTTCATTTTTCTTTTTACTTTTTTTTATTTTTGTTTTTCCAAATGCTGGAGTTGCATTTCGAATTCCCTTTCCCTAGTGCTCATATATAGACAGTAGGTTTTGTTCTGAAGCGTATTCAAGGACTTTCTCTTTCGAAGAATGGGAAAATTTCTTACATGTAAGACCTAGCTGATGACTCAAGCTTTTGCTTTGGTCAAAGCTTTTATTTACATGGAGAAGGGAACCACCCAAAATATGCGACCCTTTCACCTTCCAAGGCGCAGAAGGCAAACACAAGCTTTCCCTAGGCTGACAGGTTCTTGGCTGGTTTCTTTCCACCTGTTGTATCCCCAATATTATTTATAAAGTAAATGATGGAGAAAAAAGTAACTTAACAACCTCACTGGTTACACTAACATTGTGCACCCGGTAACATAGCATGTTCGCATTATTGCCGCAGAGGCTGATTTGATTTGATTTGATTTACTGGTGCCTGTTAGTAAACAGCTTAAGATGCAAAAGCATTAACTTACATGCTTAGCCACTAGATTTGTCTCCAGAAGTCTAAGGATTTTTTTTTTTTTTTTTTCAACTGAGAAAGTAGTGCTTAAAACTGGTTGTCATTAGAAAATTACTGTTCCCTACTATGGAGGTTGAGCAGTCACAGTGGAATTTGTTACGAAAGGCTAAATCTTTAAGCAGATAATATATTTTTCTTTCCCTCTCTTACTCAGCTTTACTCCTTAAGAAATTCCAGAGGGGATCTAGTGTTAAGAGATCTGGGTGGTGCTGGAAGGCCCTCTCTTGTGGATAGAACAGCAGTCACCTGTGATGACTGTGAGACATGCGTGCTTAGTTCCTGTCAAAGCAAAGTAGAAAGGATTTAGATGGCAATTTTCTCAAGGGTGGTAAGCAATGCTGGGTTCTCCTGTTGTCAGAGGTGAGTGAAGAAGACTTGCGTTCTTGCTGAATAAGGCCATGGCTTAATAGAAGGACCATATATAAATATGGTACAAATATGTACGGGTCAGAAATGATAGTTGTATGCAGTTGTTGCTGATATACTGTAATTTCACTGGATGGATTTTTAATTGTCTCTTTCTCTTTCCAGAAGGTACCAGGGGCATCTGGTGGAGCTTTACCAAAAAGGAGGAATGCTAAGCTATTTTTAGGTATTGTGAACAGCTGCTTTCACACAGTCCTTTCCTGACCCTATCTGCATGTGTGCCATTGTGTTTGGCTGTGGGGCTCCTTGAGAGGAGTTGTTGTTGCTGTTGTTTTGTTTTTTCTTTCATTTTCTTTTCTCTCTTTTGGCTCTAATTTTTAAAGGTGATCTGGACAAGTAATTCTTAGCAGTTTTGGCACCTATTTGGTTATAGGTGTACACGAACATGAATTTAATATTGTAATCTAAAGTTGTTTCTTGACTGTTGGTAAACAGCCTAGGGTTTGAAAGGCATTTATTTATGTATTTATTTGGACCTGTTCTGCCCTTCTCTCTCTTTTCGATATCCAAAAAACGCCCTTCGATTAAAATATTTACAGTTAACTTTTAGATGCAACCAAGTGTGGCTGTAACTGCTCTGTAACTTCATGGGAAGGGTTATTTACATTTTTAGGGGCTTGTTACACTGGTAAATACTCTTAAGTGACTGTTGTGGTGTCTCCTGTAATAAATGCAGCAGTACATGCATTGTAAGAATATTTTACCAATTCTTATTTCATTATGTCCACTATCATATCCCATTTCTTCACAAAAAACAATTTTCTTTCTGTGTCCCTTCCATCAAAAACATGTCATCTTTGATATTGATACGTATTACCCAGAAGACCTGAGGGCTCCTTAAATATGGATGAGGGGAAATTGATTCAGTGCCTATATTCTTCTTTATCCCACTACTTGTGATACTATTTAGTTTTTTCTATTTATTCTCTTTGTACTGGTAGGAAATAGTGTTGTTATTTTTTTTTTCTTCCCTTCAGATAATGTAGAGATTAAACATTTTCTGTACTGTTTCCAGCTCTTATAGCCAAGAGGAAACAATAGCATGGCCTCCCAGTAGAATTGCTTTGATCTGTGGAATGTGTCCCTAAGAGGCCTTTTCAAATGTGATTGATTAAATTGCTGTTGTTAATGTCTGGAATAGGTTTTGAAAGGAGGTCTTAGAGAAGAAAAAAGCGTTTAATATTACTCATAAACAAATGAAGTTTCTTTTGTAGAATGGGACTCTTAAGTTGTAGATGGTAGTTCAGTTGCCACTTACAGACATTTTACCTTGCAAATAGTGTTTATTACTGGATGGTTATAGAATTTGCACCAAAGCAGAGCCGTGTTGCATGATGGTTGTGCAGTGTTAGAAATGTACGCATAAACAGGAGGTGTAAAACCACAGCTAAATTTTGTTCTTACTCATACACTGCATAACTCTGTGAGGTCCTGCCACTGCGGTATGCTGGCACAGTGTTTGTGGCATCACATCTCTGACACGCCACCAGGAGGAGTTGGAGGAGTCCTTAAATTCCATCCTTGAGCATAAGCTTTTTGTTCCCAGTGCGTAGATCTGGCGCAGCAGCTGTCTCAATCCCAGTGAACTTCAGGAGGCAATGAACTGTGACTGCAGGTGAATTTAGCCCATGAAATGTCACTTTTTTTTTTTCCAGTGCTTCTAGAACTAATGTAGTTGTGAAAATGTATCTGGTCTTGTCTATTTTTCTACAGTCTTTGTGGCAGGCCCTGTTTCTTGGTTTTCAAGCGTTACCAACTCTGTACTGTCGTCCTTGAGATAGTATTTCTGTGCAGCCAGATTCTTTGTATCCGCTTGTTCGGTTTAGGCGATCTTAGTTATATATTAGTTATATATTGCCATATTTACAAGAGCAAAGAATTATCCCTGTGCTTGTTCATAGGACATCTTATTTCTGAGAAAAAGCATGGAGAGGTCAGCAAGTTTGATCTTTTTGCATGTGACAGCAGTAGAGATGGTTAGCAAAATTTGACATTTTTTCTCTGAACTCGTCATCTTCCTCACCGGTTTGGAGCTGTCAGTCTTTTCATCTTAAAAGCATGTTTTGTTTTCCTTATTGTAAACTTGGACAACTCTGACAGAAGTTGGCACCAAATAAGTGATTTTCAGCCTGTACAGATAGCCTGCCATTTAGGGCTTAAGCTGTGAGGCAGTGGTAGTGCTCAATGGTACTCTGACATCACTGTGTTTCTAGGTGTAACTATCTGAATAATTCCCTGAAAGCAAAAAGAATTAAGCTGTCTGGATAAAGTCAATCCAGTTTTGGCATTTATTTTGTTGCTTCAAAAAGCCTCTTTGATGTGAGGCTGTATGAGAACTGCTGAGTCACAGCCTGAACCTCTGATTGATCACCTGAGCCGAGCAGTGAGTCAGCCAGAGGAGCACAGGTGAAGGCAATTCCTATTTAAGAGCTGACTACCAGTGGGGAAGGATCTCTTTTGGAGGTTGCCTCTGCTGGTGTTTTGTGAGTGAGCTCAGGATAGGGGTAAGCCTTCTATGTATTCTTTTTTTGTTATCATAGTCTGCTTTGTCAAACTCTCTTGTTTATTTCATAATTATAACATCTTAATATTCATTGATTATACAAAGGCTATTACAGATATTAAACCCTTTTCAATCTCCTTAGTATTAGGAAAACATATTTTGGTTGCTCATTGATTACTTTCTATTTTCACTGCTGCTATCCAGCAAACACCACAGAAACACAGACAGGCTGGGTTAGTCCACTGAAGGCTTTATCTTCCCTTGAGCATGGAAAGATGCATAGCAAAGCGTGTGTACCCATGCTCTGGGATTTTTGTTGGCTTTTTTTTTTTTTTTTTTTTTTTTTTTCTCCTTTCCAAGAAGGCTGAAGGGTGTTGGTAGTGAGAGCTCTGTTTTATTCAGGAGGCATAATGTTGTGCATAAAAATGTGAGCTGCCTTGAATCTAGTGTGTTTAAATATTGCTAGGTACCATGGGTAACTTTGCTCAGATGGTGCAAGCTGTCTGGGGATTTGGGGTGATTTTTAAAGCAGACCATCTACATCATGGAACACAGACTAGTGTCCTCACTCCATTGGTATCTATGGGAGCTAGATTGAAGATTTTCTGTCTGCCAGGGTGCGTGGCTATTACAAAGTTTTAGATCCAGTCTGTAAAATGGAAAGAAGTTAATTGATGGGATGAGATGGTTGTTCTCCATTACTTCAGAAGGCTTTCAGATAAGGAGCTGCTGGACTGTTGTCTCTGGCATATAACCTCCTCATTATATTTGGAATTTGGCCACACTGTGGTCAGTGTGACACTGGTTTTTAAGGTGGGGGGATGGGACTAGAAAAAGTATCATTGCTAGGTTTCATTTTCATTGTAGTGCATCTAGAAGAAGAAAGAATCAAAATTAATAGGAAGTGACCAAAAAAAACCCAAAGCAACCCACCAGCAAATACTGGTTTTGTAAAGTGAAGTAATGCTTATGGGCCTGCCAGAATAGTTGGGGAGAGTCAGTCCTCACATTAATAAGAGCAATTTGATTAATAAAATGTGCTGTGATCTTCTACAGAAGATCTTCATCAGAAGGATGAATGGAATAAGAGAGAAGATCCTTGTATTGGAGGGCCAATTCTCACAGCAGAAAATAACCAGCAGAATCCTTAGTAATGTTTTAATTATGAAGAATTAATATGATCATAAATGATCTGGAAAGGGACTGAAAAATGAGGAAATGATGTTGTAATTGATTTTAAATTGTGCATTAGATCACATTGCAGATAATTTTTAGGTTTGTTACTCAGGCACTAAACAACAGAAGAAGGAAATGTTGAAAACTATGAAAAGGAGAAGTAGTTTAACTGTGCAGTGGAAATACTAAGTCACAGCCTGAAGCAGTGATTGAGCACCTGGTGGGAAGGCAGGGCCAACCCAGGGGAGCTCGGGTGGATGCAGTGCAGCTGCATGACTGGAAAGGGTGGAACCAGGACGCAACTCTTTCCATACCTCATTTAAGGGTTGGCAGTGGAGGTGAGGGTATCTCACTGGAGATCCCTGCATATTTGAGGCCTTCCAAGGGTAAGCAGCTCTTTTCTTTCATTTATGAATCCATGGCTGCTGCATTTGGGCTTGTCCTCATTTGCTGCTGCCAAAGACTTTGTTGCTCTGTTATTATTGCTGTACACATTATAGCATTACAATGGTTCACTGCAAATATTAGCCCAGTTAGCAAGTGGCAAATGCAAAGAGTGACAGTTGATATTTGGTTTTCCGTTATATTTTGGATTGTAAATCAGAAGTGAGCCTCTGCTCTGACCAGAGAAACCAAGTAGATATCTAGAAGATGAGAGGTATATTCTGAGGAAGGAATCACTGCATTTCTGCCTTGTTCTGCCTTCTTCCTGGGTGCCTGTGGGCCCGTGTCAGACACTGGACTGTATTCTAAACAGAGGTGGCAAAGTGGCTGTCATAAAATTTGTCTATAGACAGATGTCCTCCTCTAGATCAGTTAACATAACAGTATCTGCCAGTGCAGCAATTTGCAAGAGCTCTGGTTTGAGCAAAGTCAGGGATAACTTAGACCATCAATTAAAACCATTTTGAAGTACTCAGATGAACAGCTCTGTCAGCAGATCTGTGAGGATGGTAATTGCAGATGAGAGGAGCCTCACTGGGGAGGAGTATCCATGACATACAGCTGGTCTCAGAGAAGGCATCAGAAAGGAAAGCTTTCACTTAAGAAGTCTGGGGAGAATTCACAAACTTGCTGACCTTCTCCTGCCTGGCACCCACCTGCAAATGCAATGGTAATACTTACAGGTAGGATTTCCAAGTATAAGGGCTGTTCACAAGAGTGGCTATGCTAGGTTTAACCACAGGTCCACTTAGCTCTCCCTATTCTCATATGGCTGCCCTGGATGTTTTTATTTTAGAAAGCTTCTGAAGAGGACTTGAACCACTAGTGGTGTAGGTTTGTGTAAGAAAATATGTATAGACTATATACAGATCTATGAAATGGAAGAAAAAGTGTGGCTTAAGAGGATTTCAGTGTGTCCTGATAATATTTTTAAATCTTAAAATTGCACCAGCAAAAGTGAAGCTGATCGCATCAGGAGCGAACCTGTTGCTTGAGTTGGGTATAGAATGTGTTATTCACGTCTTAATCTGCTATTTTAGGTGGAAATGTAGAAGTGAGGCTAAATTAATATAAGCTAATGCTGCTAGCAAAATATTCAGGTCTTCAATTCTGATGGCTTTACTTTGTTTTTTCAGTGCCAGAAATCCAAAGGGTGAGGTCTATTTCTAGGACTAAAAGCACCATACTAATGCTTTGGAGATGTAGCAAGCAATGCAAGTGATTTTTACATAAAGTGAATGATGCAAATGATCCCAGTAGAAAGTTTTGCTTCCCTTTTTCCTACATAAGGGAATTACATGACTGAAAACGTATCATTTTTCCTTTTGTTTCTTCCTCTTTAAATAGCTCATCTGATGAGGTGTTGTGCTTTAACCTGGCAGGCAGCTCTTTTGCTCACCCCACTGCCTCCAGGGAGAAGGTGAAGAGGATTGAGGAAAAATAGAAAGTAGAACTTGTAGATTGAGATAAAAACTATTTACTAAGACAGAGAAGGAAGAGGGAAATAATGTTAATTTTATATTTCTCTCTTTGTGTGTGTGTGTGTGTGTGTGTGTGTGTGTGTCTGTGTGTATACACACACATATATACTTACTTACAGAACAAGCAACGCATAATGCAATTGCTCACCACCCCACCCCTCAGCTGATGCCTAGTCAGTCCTTGAGTAGTGGCTGCCACCCCAACCACCTCTCCTCAGTTTTATGTTTTTTTTTCACATGGTGATGCATGGTATGGAATATCCCTTTGGCCACTTTAGGTCAGCTGTCCTGGTTCTGTCCCCTCCCAGCCCTGTTGCTGTCAGGGTGGTGCAAGAAGCTGAAAATGTCCTTGGCTCTGCATAGCACTGCTCAGCAACAATTAAAATATGGTGCTTTATCAACACTGTTTTTCTCCTAAAGTCAAAATGTAGCATCATACCAAGCACTGTGAAGAAAATTGACTCTGTCCCAGCTGAAACCACTATATGACGTTGGTGTTTCAGGTGTATCTGAAGGCATTTAATTGAAATAGCTTGTGGTCTGCAAAGTGCTGCTGCAGTGTATTGTCATTTAGATGCTTCAGGAAGAAATTAATTGGTTGAAAGACACTTCCATGTTGTCACAAATTTGTCCATCACTTTCGGAGAGATCAGGATTAAACCCAGATTCCAAAGATACATTTCTTGAGTTTGAAAATTTGTTGCAGCCTCATTAGTCAACATCCTCATTCAATTTTTGTATTTGTGTCCCCTTTCATACACACACATCCATATGCACAGGATATCCTGTTTAGAGATCCTGCCTGGAATGTCCTTATGCCCCTATTATTAGTGCATTCAGTTGGTAACTCTTCTAAATCTGATCTGGCCATGTCCACTCCTTCCCCTCCAGTAGGTTGGTTTACAGTACTGTCTTCCACCTCCAGCTGCTGTTTTCAGTCAGTCCAGCAGCAGTGCATTTCTCACTGTCACAGAAGTGTGACGCCTGTGAGCTGGAGTAAATGTACTCTCCTGAGTGCTTGCTCAAAATAACGTCAGACGCGCTGCTGTTTCAGCGTGCCCGTTATTTTGCTTTCCCCGTTGTCCTGGCCTCCCAACACAACATTGTGACCTATGCCCACTTTGTTTTAATGACTGCAGTTTAACTGGGGCTCTGACTGAGTACCATAGAGTTGTTCGTCTGGTAGAAGGGGAACGTTGTCATGCGGTTGTTCCCCAAGTCGGCAGCACTTTAAAAAGATGGCGTACAGGTTGGTTGTTGTGCAGCAGCCTTAGAACTGGAGTAAACCATTTGTTGCCCAGAGATTCTTCTATACACTGTATGTTAGAAGGTTGTCATTGTCTGAGAAATAGCCTTGTATGCAATAGAGTATTTAAAAGTTTATCCTGTTATAAGTCCCTTAGTGTTACGGTAACTTTTGGTCAAATGTGCTCAATTTGCAAGCAGACTTCTCCCACTACTCTTTCCCCTGGCTACAGTTGTTCCTTTGTCAAATCCTGCACTGGTTTTAAGATCCGTATCTGAAGCATCCTGCAGACTATATGGGATGCCCACTGGCAGCCTCGCTTCCTGTGGGCTCCTGTTGTCTTGTAATGTAATAGTCATCTTGTTTTATTATGCAGAAACTCATGCTTTCTTAGCTAAACTGGCTGTTGTGTGGATACAGAAAATATGATGCAGGTGTGTCTTCTTACCAAGCTTAGCAACTGTGGCTCTCTGCATGTAAGCTAAAATTTGAAAACATTAGTACAGATTTTGGGATTTTCAACTTGACATCATTAAGGGACCTGTCACCATTAGGAATTAGTTTGAGGTCCTCTGCTGTTTCAGCAGTTTTGAGTCTGTGACCATGGATTAATTTCTACTCTTGTGATACTGGACATGCGAACACTGATAAACTATTTTCAGTGCAACAGTTGCCAAAAATATTGTAATCCTTTGTAGATATGTGGGCTGGAAGTGTGCCAGCCTTACATGATCACTTTTAAAGTAAAATTGCAAGTTAAATCTTTTATTTCCCCCTGAAATTGTTATAATGCTGTGTGTATCCTCCTTCAAGAAGTGTGATGCTGCCTTGTGTCAGACATCCAAAATACCATGCTGACAAAGCATCACGTTTTACTTTCCTCGTAATACAAGTGGTATGAAGCCTGAAAAGGAACTTTTTTCTTCCCCTTACACCCAAAAGGATGATGCTGCTAAGTATTTTTCTCTGGATCCCTAATTCTAATGTGGGTCAGTAGCAGTGAAGCTGCTGCTGTCTACCTGCTCTCTGGTTCATGAGATGAGCTGAAGTGTGGCTCTGAATTTTGAACTGTGGCAGCCATCTAATTGCCTTTTCTATACAGTGGTTTGTGAAGGTTAAAAACTTCTAATGTTGATATGAAAAAGAAAATACCAGATGACAGCTACTGACTGATGTGAGCTGTCCTCAGGTTCCCTCTGGTGGCAGAGCGAAGCATGGGACTGTAAGCCCTGCAAAAGACATGTTTGCTGCCTTGTGAACTTGTCTGAACATACACACAGTTTTTATCTTCTCTGAGGAAACTGCACAGGTTGAAATCTATCACATTTAGGAGGTTATCATTAGTTTTGTTGTTACTATGTTTGCCACCATTGAGGTTATGTGAAATTCATGCAGTATGTTACCATCAGCTTGGAGATGCTCAGTTTCTTTACTTTTTAGAGAAAAAGAGCTTACAGCTGTGGACTGCATCTGTTGAGATTTTATCCTTTATCAAAACACAAGATAGTATAAACTGTGAAAGAAGCCCAGAGTAAAGTGAGGTTGCTGGTTGCCTATCATGCTGTGGTAACAGATAAATAGCTCTTACTTTTAGCTATTTGAGGCTAATGATGAGATACAGGAATAATTCCAGCCATGGAAAGCTGGAAGAGAGGAAAGGCTACAGATGCAAAGTGAATAGGAGCCACGGAATGTTTCATCCAGGTCTGTGATCTGGATAATGTGGGTTGTTGCTTTGCAATTTAGGCATAGCTAGTGTGTGACCTAGTCTCAAATTGTGTAGTGCTTCAATATCCTGGGTGAATACTCAGCAGTATTGCCTGCTGCTTTTGTCCAAAATGAGTAGAATTTTGTTATTTGCTTCCAGAATGAGATGTCTGCAACAGCACACTGCTTGGAGAGAGGCCAGATCAACTATGAGCGGAGCTCAGATTGAGGTGGAGATTTTGGTCCTCAGTTAATCCTCTTGCAGTGGGGTCAGATTTCAGTTTAGAACAGAAGAAACTACTGAGAGTGTCAGCTTTTGGGCTGATAGCTGGCAGTGCTTCCTAGTGGTACCACTGGCACAGTTTAGGAGCCATGGTCCTGGGACTGTCTCCTAACAATACCTATCTTGTTTTCCAGATCTAGAGGCAAATGGTGATCTGAGCAGTGATGACTTTGAATATGAAGATGAAGCAAAACTCGTTATATTTCCTGATCACTATGAAATCTCATTACCAAACATAGAAGAGTTACCAGCGCTGGTTAGTGAACATATGCAAACATGGAAGGAATTTTCCCTAGAGCAGTTTTCATCAAAATGCTGATTTGTTGTCAGTTGCTTATTTTTACATAAAGGTCTCTCTTAACTGGAGAGGCAGGCATTTTTAAAAGTCTGCTTTATTTTTTTTTCTTGGGATTTGCTTTTGTCTCTTGCATTCCTTCCCTTATTTTGATGACAGCTTGCCTCCTGTATTACGTGTTGTGCTTGCTCTCCTGATAACTGTAATCCAGATGCATATTTGTGTATTTAAGCATATGATTAGTCTTACTGATATCCAGTTCAATATATGGTTAGCAACTGAGTTGAATGTCAAGTTCCTAAAAGTCACTGAACTGCGATAGATTTTTGAATTTGATCTTCCTTTGTCTTCCAGGTGACAATAGCTTCTGATGCACTTCTCAGTGCAAAATCACCCTATAGGAAGCAGGACCCTGACTCCTGGGAAGAAGAGCTACAGGCATCTAAGCATGCTAAATCACTTGTGCAGTTGGACAATGGTGTTAGAATTCCCCCCAGGTAAGTGTAGCAAGGTTTTTTCATTCTAGGTTATCTAATACAGTCCAGAATAAAAAACTAAAGGCAGTAACTCAGCCAGCAATTATCTTGTGTGATTCTTAGCTGGATGTATGAGTGCTTGGTTTGACCTACCATAACTGGGAATGCAGAATGGCTTCCTGCCTTTCTTTCTTCTGTAATTTCTTCTAATTTCTTTCTTCCTTTTTCTTTTCTTTTCTTTTTTTTTTTTCTCAGTGGTTGGAAGTGCTCAAAATGTGATCTTCGGGAGAATCTGTGGCTGAACCTGACAGATGGTTCGGTGTTGTGCGGGAAGTGGTTCTTTGATGGTAGTGGAGGGAATGGCCACGCAATGGAGCACTACAAGGAGACGGGTTATCCCCTGGCAGTGAAGTTGGGAACCATCACTCCTGATGGAGCAGGTCAGCCACCTGGCAGGTTCTTAGATGGGATATCTTTTGTGCATGAAGCTAACTATGTAAACCTACAATCAAGTGAGTTTTTTTTTCCAGTGCAAATGTTTAACAGACTGATATGGAGAGAGAACCCTGTAAGTCTTGTTCAGTTTGAGGAGAATGACACACATCATTAGAAGAAAGCTTTTTTTTTTTTTTTTTTTTTTTTTTTTTTTTTCTCTCCAATGTTCTTTTCTCCTGTCATATGTCTGATTGTAAATAGTGCTTTAGCTTTGTGTAATAGTGGATTAGTATTAGGTGGGGAAGAATGGTGTTTTGAAACAACATAGTCCTGAGAAACAGTATTTTTAGTTTGGGTAACTTTGCTGTGTTAGTCTGGGGCAAATGATTCAATCTTCAATAACAAAGAAGCAATAACAGTTGCATTTTAGATTCAGAAAAGCCTACTATCATATGTATTTTTTTAACGTACTGGGAAATGTACTATCTTCCCTTGTTGATTCAGTAGTTTTTTGTTCATCTTCATGGGGCTGCTGTGATGGTCATTAGTAAAAAGCCTGATGATCTTGTGAGAATGAAAAATCTATAGAAGTGTTCCTGCTTGCAAATTCTCTGTGTGACATTCTGCAGTGTTGCTGTGGGGGAGGGTTGTGGTGTGTGAAAACTAGATGGAGTATAAACATGAGAAGCTGAAAAAGTCTTAAGCAAGCATCTTTTTCTGCAGCTGTAAGGAGGCAAAAAAGGATCAGGTAGCATGATTGCGTTTGTTTTCTAGTGCTCAGGACCATATGGATGAGAAATGACTGCATAGAGCAGCAGCCTTCCACTTATTTACACACATCAGTTGAGAATTTTTCATCTTTAAGTCCTATTCAGTTTCAGGGTAAGGAGGCTGTAGTTAGATTCACCCAGCTGTGCCATAGAAACACTGAGCAAAGTTAATTTTCTCCCAGATTCTGTTTCCTTGGATGAGCCTGATTTTTGGATTGAAGATGGTTAGGATTTTCTTGGGTGAAAGTTTCAACCTGCATCTACAAAATAGATAATATTTTAGTGTTTGTTTCAATGCTTTTCTGGTATTTTTACCACTAGTATTTGTTTCCTACAGCTGTTGTACTTCTGCCTCCCACCCATCAGCTGTTTTTGCTCTCGTGTGGCCTTTGGGATAACAAAGGACACGCTGTCATCTTTCCCTCTGAATGGGGGGCAGCAGCTGTTCTACACAGATATTTGTTCTTCTGGATGTCGTTAACTTAATGTCCCTATAGGGAAGACTTCCCTCCCCCAACCTTCTTTCTTTTCCTTTTCAGCAATTAATCTCTCTGATCTATATTGCATTGGTAATCATAACTTCTCTATAGGGCTGGATGACAGATGAGCTTCAGGAAAGAGGCCCTGTGGCTGATTGTGACAAATATCTGTCTGGTTTCTGCTTTACTGACCTGGAGGTGAAGAGGTAATAGTAGAGGAATAATAAGTGTTGGTCCTTCTGCTGATGTTACTTTATCCTTTTTCACACAAGTAATGATGAGAAAGAGGAGATGCCAGTACTTATCCATTCCCTGCAGAGAGAGCAGAGGAGAGCCCCTTGTCTTTTCCTGACAAATCTGCATTGCACAGACTGGAAGGGATTTGTGGGGCATTAGCCTCATTTCATAGTTTCGTCAACAAACAGACCTGGATTCGGATCAGAGATTGAACCAAAATTCTGTCTAGCATCCTAGGACCTTGGGCAGGTTAGGCAAGTCAAAAATTTTCTTCTCTAGGTTGAGTGCTTCTTGGCAGGCTATGCTAACAGCTACTTCTCTTTACAATGCGATTACGTTTGATTTCAAGTACTTGAGGTTACGTGGTTGAAAATGCTCTGAGGACTGGAATAGTTATTTGGCAGTGAGAGGCTCTATTTTTAACAGGTTCTTGAATGAGTTGCTTTGTGGATGCCAGTCTCAGTAATTGTCAGATACTTCTTTAGGGTAATCTTGGGCAACCTGTTTCTTCACACACCATTGCCTGTTATCCTTTGAGTAGGAAGGAGTGATGTCTCTAACATGCATAAGTCTTGAGCTGGAAGAGAAAAGGAAGTACAGGTAGCAGTGTCACTTTTCTTACTGCAATGTGAGTAATAACAGTTGTTCTCTGTTGAATAATGTTTTGTGGTACCTATCTCATGTTTCTTGTTCTCTTTTTCATTTTTTATCATCTTCCCCTCTTCTACCCTTTTCTTACTCTGCAGCTAGTGTGTCCCATTTGCTGACTTCTGTGTAGACACTTATGGGTAAGAATGCAGGAGAGGACTATGGACCAGTGTTTTGGAATTCTCAACTTCTTTAGTTTGCTGCCCTTTGCCGCCTTTGGAGTGGATTGTTTTTCTCTCATGAATTTAAGTTGGCTACACAGCAGAAAGGAATAATGTTTGTGAGACAAGCTGGGCTTGAGTGAAGATTAACGTTGTGTGTTCCATTCTTGCAGCTCAGGGTCAGTAATTCCAGATGGCTGCTCTTTCTTCATTTGCCAGAAATGAGGAAAAACAAAATCAAAGCAAACACATTGGGAGCAGTCACCCAAGATCAGCTGATGTGTAATCTCACTGATAGGTGTGTGAGCTTTACAGGATCTTCTGGCTGTTCTGTGACCTCACCAGAAGACTATGGAATGTTGTATGTGGATGAGCTGTCAAGTTCTCTGAGCATGCTTGCTACTACACAGTGGAATTCCAGTAGATGAGCAGCTACAGCTCCATGCATACCAGAGGGGTCATCAGAACCAATGTTAATAGAGGGTCTGATGGCCGCTGATAGCAATGTGACTCAAAAACACCATTCCTTGGTTTGAGAGAGTTTGTGTTTTTCATAGGACTGATAAATCCATAAGTTGCACTTAGATCTTAGAATAGTGGCTGACACTCAAGCTATCATTTCAGTGTGGTTTTCTCACTGGCATTCTTCAAGGAATCTGCAGTCTTGTTAAAATCTTATGCAGGTGATGGACTGAGGCCAGGAGAGAGCAGGAGAAGGACCCTTTAGAAGTGGTCTGTGCTGCAAGCAGACTTCATCTGGATTCCTGCTCTGTCCTCCCAGATTTTTCTTATTTCTTCTTGTTCAGGGTTCAAATTTCTCTCTTACCCCGGATCTGATCACATGAGGCAGGATCACTGAAAAACTCTATAGGATGTGATGGAAACTTGTCTGAGAGGAGTACTGGCAGAGACTTTCTGGGCTTTGATATGAGTAGAGACTGGAGCAGAGGAGTATTCGTACACTACGAAGGAAGAGAGCAGAGAAAAGACAAGACCTGTTCAGGACTTTCTAGTGGGTCTTATATCCTCATGCCATGCCTGTAGATTTACTGTTATTTGCTTAAGTAGGTGAAAGCTCTGCTTCATTAAAGTCTTGTTTGGTAAGTATTAAAAATGAAATTTTTATTTTCATTTTGTCCTTTTATTGAATTTATTAAACATAGCTTCATAACAAAAGTATCATTAGGCTTACTGCTTTCCTCCCCAGTTTGAACTTTGCCCTTTCAAAATCTTTATGGACTACGAGGAGCTATTTTAAAGCTAGGATTTAGATCTCTCATACAATACAGCAAGACATCCCAAAAATGACGTTGGACTTTCTCCCTCATGATAAGATTAATCTTCCAACTCCCATCCAAGTTATTTCGAATGAAGAATTTTTTATTTTTACCCTGTGTATCACTGGGAAAAGGAAATGGATTCCTTGAACTGCATGAGACATTAAAATGCCATTTCCAGTTGTCACTTGGCTTCATAGTTTTGAATGTGTTTGCCAGCATGTAGTAGCTCCACATAAAATTCAAACATTCTTGCTGCTGTGTTCAAAACATGGATTGGTTATGTACCTTACAATTCTGTGAGTTGTGTTCCTTCTTCTACAGATTTCTTTTACTTCTTTTGGGGAAAGGAGAGGGGATTGTTGGGTAATACTGTAATTACTTCAAATTTTCGTAGGTTTTAATGCGATGAAGGTGTGTAATTGACTCAAAGGAGAATAGTTGAGTTGATATGTTGAAAACATTTAAGGTGTTTACTGAGCTCTGTGGTCTATATGTTATATACATCTCAACCAACCCCAGAGAATATGAATAAGACATCTTATCTAGGCACTTCTGTATTGAGAATGCAATAATCAACAAAGAGAAAGGGTAACATTTGATACAACAGGTCATCTGTTTCTCTTTGCTTTTGTAGATGTCTATTCCTTTGATGAAGAGGAGCCGGTGTTAGATCCACATATAGCAAAGCATCTGGCACACTTTGGGATTGATATGCTGCAGATGCAAGTGGTAGGAAATCAAGCTTCTTTTTAGTTTCTTCATTACTTTTCTAGTTGGGAGTAGGGAGAAACAGGAGAAGTACTATATCTGTAGTTTATATAGAACAAACCTTATACTGGTTAGTGTATTTCATTGTCCAAGTGGAGGCAAAAGAAAAAAAAAAAGACCCTAAACTATTATAGAAGAGTTTCAGAAGCCTTCATGGTTCTTATCAGTATTTTCAGTATATTAATATCTTTGCCAATATCGTGAATAAAAGTTCCTCTTATTCAGTGGTCTTTCTGAAAAATGTGTTTTTACTTAAAAAAAATCTGCAAAATTGGTGTATAGTTTCAGCTGTTGCAGAGAATTCCCCTTCTGCATTTAGACCGGTATGTGAGATGATTTGTGAAGTGGGGGAGTAGTGCTAGCAAAGTGGTAATGTAATGATTAGTATCTACAAATTGAAAGCTGAGCTGTGAATTGGAACTTCAACATCCCAGACCTAGCTTTTCCCTTTTGCATGGAGAGTTGTTGAAGCAGCATCTTTGCATCTGATTTGTTTGCTGAGACCATCTTCTACAGTAGCAGCTATGCCCAACCATTATAAACGGAAAAGTGCAGCTTGAAAACATGAAGTATCTTTATGCTGAGTCTTGAGAATGCAGATCATAGAGAAGTGGAGGTTGAAGGCATAATGAGAAACATTCAAAGAGCCAGCGGTCTGTAGTGAAGAGCTGTGAGACGAATTGGATGAGCAAGCTGCTACACTTCTGACCTTGACCTCCTCCCCTGCATGTGGGATTCACCTCCCTTTTCCCATCAATTTGGCTGCTCTTTTCTAAAAGAATTCACAAAATTGGTGATGATGACAGCAGCAGTATAATAGTTGCAGAAGTTAAAAGGCAAAATAAGTCTTTTTGCTTTCAGGCAGAGAATGGTCTAAGAGATAATGATATAAAACCAAGAGTCTCTGAATGGGAGGTGATTCAGGAAGCTGGTATGAAACTCAAGCCCGTGTATGGCCCAGGGTATACCGGCATGAAGAACCTGGGAAATAGCTGCTACCTCAATGCTGTCATGCAAGCCATTTTCAGCATCCCAGAGTTCCAGCGAGCGTAAGTAGCTCCAAGCTAGCACTTACTACTAGTTGCCTAGTTCTCCTATGTCCTGTTTTTCTATGCAGAACAGTATTTTAGAGTCTTTAACAAGATAGGGACCTGGCAGAATTTAGATCTTTGCATCACACATTTCTTTGTGTGGCTCTACCCAGGTAGCCTGTTATTTCACCTGTGTTCAAGTGAAGCAATACTCAGGTAGTATGTTACCAAGTGCTTTGGTTTTCAACAAATGGGCTACAACAATGTATACCTCAGCAATTATTGTCAGGAATTAGCTATTATTTCTCTGAGGAAACTCGATACAAACATTATTTCATGTGTTTTGTTCCTGATTAAAAGCTAACAAACAGAAAACTGTTAAGAATTTATTTGGCAGTGCTGGTCTGGAGTAGGAAGTACATTGTTTCATTGTGGTTTTGAGCAGTGCCCAGCAGCTGTTTCAGGTAGAATATTCTGGGTAAACAGCAAAGCCATATATTTTCTCTTTAGCTAGAAACTTCTAACCATAACTTAAATATCCTCTTCCTTATTTCTTTACTACTATTTTTCAGTGGTAGAAGCATTCACCAGGGTTAGGTGAAGTTATTTGTGTGTTGCAAAATTTGATTTGCCAGCACAGAAGGGGCTTGTAGATGTATTGCTGCTGAGGACTGTGTGTCTACCTCTGTGCAGTATTTGAATGTTTGTGCTTTGTTCTTGATGCCCAGGTATGTGGGAAACCTTCCGAGAATATTCGACTACTCCCCACTTGATCCAACACAAGATTTCAACACCCAGATGTAAGCGATGCTTTTCAATGACTTACTTTGTCAATTTAAATAGAATCTGAATAATTTAATGGCAAAGAAGAAAAATAGGCTTGTGTGGGCTTGAAATCAAAACATGGCACAGGGTTCAATGTGAAGACTTGCCTGATTAATTATATGTAATGTTTCTTTAAGGGCTCAAAGACAGTATATTTCTTCCTTGGAAGAAAATCTTTTATTTTTTGTCTATTTTCTCATGTGTTCATGTTTTTTTGTTTCTTTCCCCCTCATTTTCTTTCCTACAGGGCTAAACTGGGACATGGCCTCCTTTCAGGCCAGTATTCTAAACCACCCATGAAATCTGAGCTTATTGAACAGGTGATGAAAGAAGAACACAAGGTATTTGACTGAGTTTGTGCAGCCTAGTAACTAGGTAAAAGTGATACCCTGAGAAAAGGGAACAGGTGCTGGGCATTGGAGAACATGGATGGATCTAGCATGGGATGCTTAGCAAGGTGGAATGAGCGGGATTCTAGTCAGGAATATATTAGTCAGGGACTATTTGTGCAAAGCTTTAAAGTAACCAATGATTCTGTTAAGAAGGTGTTCAGCAGCTCCTGTGATGAGTGCATTCGTAGAACTTATGTTTATCTTCTCTGAGGGACAGTAGAATGCTATTTTAGGGTGTCCTGAGTGTTAGAGGATTTTCTAATCTCACTCTAAATTGCAGAAAGTAATAGAAAGACCAAATAAATTGTTTCTGAGGTGTCTGAAAATATTCTACCTGATTTCAGTGGAAGCTCTTAATATCTTAGGCAATTTTTTGATTTTTAGAAATAATGATAATTTTTTGCCAAGGCCTGGCTCATTTCTTTCTCTCAACAAGCTTCACGGGCCCTGTGTGATTCTGCTTTGTCTTTGTACCTCTTCTCAGTTCTGTGAAGAAAAGCTGTTAGCAGCTTTTATGTCACAACAGTTTCTCTTTTACCAAGTTGGCATAAATTTCCCTCAGTGTTTGGAGAGTGAGAATGACATCAGTTTGATTTTGACTTTTTTCAAACTCTGCTTATGGATTTGTCGCTGCTTTTCCCACAGCAATTTGATTAACATTTGCCTTGAGCAATATGTTAGTTATGTGCTTCGTGTAATCTACACGAGTGAATCTATCAAAATTGAGATTTGTTTTCCTATTCAAACTATCTACTTGAAGCATTTTGTTTAGAGTGATGCTGGGAAAACTGGGCCTGAAGTGTGTCAATGTGTGTCGTTCCTCCTTCCCCCTCCCTGTGTTAATGTCCCTGCCAGCCCACTTACTGTGGCTCCAAACAACATGTGGAGTTAAATTAGTCTTCACAACTGAAGTGAAGATACTGCTTGTAGGAAAGAGCTTTCTTTACAGGGGAGAATGCTTCATACAGAGTTGTATTTTTATGGACAGTAGCAGTCGCGTGGGCTTGTCAAAGAAGTATATGATGGTTTTCGTGAAAATAGGTATTTTCCTTTTACCTTTGTCTCTGTTAGTTATTGATATAGGAATTCACTTCCAAAGAAGAATGCCAGGAAGATTCTGGACACAGAGCGTCTGGTACACTGTAGTTTGTATAATTTGAGTGCCTCATGTCTGCTTGGCAGTTGTTCTGCATAGTAGATACTGACTGTTTTGAAAGAAACCAAAAAATGTGGCTTATGCTTTTAAGTAAAGTTGGAATATATCAGTGAAGCACACTGATTAAGAAATAGAAGAACAGATTTTAACAGATGCCTCACTTAAATTCTCTGTAATAGTTGACTAACTTTGTTAAATGTCTGTGATGTGAAAAAGAAATTATGTGCCGAAAGTTCAAGACTTGAACTGTTAGGACAAACCTACAGCTGTGAACCCACTACTCTGTGTTGCCCAAAGGTTAATCTTAGCAATGAGATGTTGAGATCTTCAATGACAAATAGTACAAACCTGTGTCAGGTAGTAGTAACCATGTATTGGCGTTTAAGAGTGCTTGCATTGTTCATGAGTTAATTAAAATTGTAGTTACACGTATCAGATGAGTCCTTTATCAAGCAAGTTGTAGCATACACTAGGTTTAGGAACAGCTTTCACACCTTTCATTCTTTGTGTTGAAGAAGAACACGGAAAAATTCAATTTATGGATGTTATTTTTTTCTGTTCTGTTGCTGTGGACATACAAAAAACTAGATTTTGTGAATTTGGGAATGTTCCCTGCTCACCTCCCTCCCTATCACCTTCCCCCAGCAATACTGATATACATATTGTATTCTGTCATTTAGAGAGCTGTGCTGACATTCATAATATGACTACACTGGATTTTAGGTGCCCAACATTTTCAAATGCCTCCATTTTGTGTCTACAGTTGTTCATTTTATTTTATTTTATTTTTTTTTTTTTTTTTTTGCGTCCTACCTGTGAGACATTCTCTAGCTTTCTAGGTTGCTGGAATTCATCCAGAGTTTTGGGGAGTTGTTGCCTGTGAAAGCATTCATGTGAGATCTGCAGTGGTCCAGCACAGTCTATATTTAGCTGAGCTGTTTTGCAACTGTTGATGAAGAAATTATGACAGATATTCTATAAATATTTTTGGTTCTGGGGAAGTAAAATCTACTTTTCATCACAGGAGCTTTGTCTGGGAACAGCAGAAGTTTTCTTGGTCCATTTTAATATTAAAAACAAGTTGAAAGCCTAAATGATCATCAACTAGGACTTGATTTTCTGTTAGATCTCTGTCATTTCTTCCATGGTTTTTCTTGCCCTTCATGGGGACAGGGTTTAGAGAAGAATATCCTTCTCTGGAGACTGTTGCATGTGGCTTGTTTCTTCATGCTCAAATAGATGAATAAAAAGTATATAGATGGAAGCAAGGCTTAATTCCAAACAGTGCATTACACGTCAAGGCAAATGTGCCACCTTGCTGTATAGAAAAAAAAAAAAGCCTATTATATAGTAATTTGAGGTATTTTATGCCTATCTGGGCTTTAATGAAATGTGACTGATGATGCGAGAGTGGCACATAACCCAGGGTTCAGAAATCACTGGAACATCTCTCTGTCAAAGCAGCAGTAAGGCTCTGTATGGGAGCCTCTCAGTGGCATCTTAGCCTCATGACATTGCTGGTAAGCTGCCAGTACTTGACAAAAATGTAACTGAGAACATTCTTCTGATTTCAGTGAGTCTCTGCCTACCTTTCCCTGTTGAAATCAGTATTCACATTTTCCTGTTTTAGTGTGTGCTCTGTCTGCCTTTCATTTCATGCTGCTTTTTTTCTTTTTATACTAGAGAAATGGAGAGCAACTGTGGTGAAGTCTGAGATTGGCTGAATATTTAATAACCTTTAGCGTGTCCTAAGGGCTCTGCTTTTGCTTGGACTCTCTTGAAATTTATTTGGTTTTATGGAGAGTGAGAGCAAATCTGAGCAAAATATTCTGACCCTTTTGAAAGCGTTATTTGAAAGGTATTGTAGCTAATGTCATTTTGAAGAAATTTCAGGAGGGAAAAAAAAGCTTCTGAAATTGATAGAGAGTGTGAAAGTCAAAATGAGGACTCAGCAGCTAGAGATTTTAAGATTTGGAACAGCTCCTTACTGATGTAACCAAATAGCCAAAGGTAGTATGTGCTTGGTCCATCACTGTGATCAACAACTACAAATTGCCAATTCATGTCAGTTTTTGGCAACCCATCTGCCAATTTTTCTGCATGTATTAGTTATCCTCTGCTTCATTCAGCAGAGATCACTGGAAAGCTTTTGTTTGGAGTATAATAGCTGCTACATCAAAGTGCTTCAGTGCCCACATAGCCTTAAGTGAAACGGGTCTGAGAGGATTGTCATTATTAGAAAGCAGTGTAGACTTAAAGCCTTCCTGAAAACTGCTAACCTTTAGCAATTCTTCAGTAATCTAATTTGGCGTGCAAATGCTATAGAAAAATAAACCTGTGTGAATGCTGCAGGAAGTACAAAAAAACCATACTCTGAAACCCCCGAATAGTATTTCAGGACCCTTCTCATTCTTTTTTTTCTAAAGGAGATCCAGATGAAACTGAAACTATCATTTCTACAGTGACAAAAATAGATCTAGTGGCCAAATAGATCTAGTATAGTAATAGGCCAAAAGTAGATCTAGTGGAATGATTTGGGGATATTTGATCTAAGACTGAATACAAATTCTTTAAAAGTGTTTTCTTTCTTTTGTTTATTTCTAGCCTCAACAAAATGGAATATCTCCTCAGATGTTTAAGGCTTTTATAAGTAAAGACCACACAGAATTTTCCTCTAATAGACAACAAGATGCACAGGAGTTTTTCCTTCATCTTATAAATCTAGTGGAGGTGAGAAATTCTGCATGAATACTTCTTTTCTGTAGTAGTGTTAAAGCTGAATTTGTTTTGTGAATGGCCTGTTTTTTTTTTTTTTTTTTTTTTTTAATATACTCTTTATAGCACTGAGTATATAGAAAATGGCAACAATTTAGAAGTACCTTGGCTTAGAAGTATTTTTTCCTTAATTATTCCTTCTTACTACTTCAGACTTATTACTTAAGTGGGATTCACTATGGGTGCAAGAGTTCTGCTTGCAATAGAATGCAAATAGAACTGTCAGATCTGCATCCAGCTTTGTTGTCTCTACGTTTGCCATAAAACAACCAGCAGCCTTTGGGTTCTTCGGTCATCCAAGGGATGACTGTTACAGTGAATTTTAATGTTTTGTCAGAGGAATCCTGTAGGTTCAGAAAACCCCAGTGATGTTTTCCGTTTCCTGGTGGAAGAACGCACGCAGTGCTGCCAGTCCAGAAAAGTCCGCTACACGGAGAGGGTGGACTACATCATGCAGTTACCTGTTGCCATGGAGGCAGCAACAAACAAAGGTAAAGAAAGCAACAGGTCAGTTCACTGACCTTTTGTGTGTCTCTGACCATAATCGTGTCTAGTTGAGCCATGCAAAAGCTTTACTGATACACTTTTGCATTTCTAAAACCTCTAAAAATACTTCTACAGTGAGGAACATCATAACCACAACATTCATTTAGCTTTCATTGTCATGTGTGTTTCTCAGATGAATTAATTGCATATGAGCTGAAAAGGCGAGAAGCAGAAGCTGCAAGGAGAGCTCCACCAGAACTTGTCCGTGCCAAGATCCCATTTAGTGCGTGTTTGCAAGCCTTCTCTGAACCAAGCAATGTAGAGGACTTCTGGAGCAGTGCCCTTCAAGCAAAATCTGCAGGAGTTAAGTAAGTGTCTGCTTGTGCAATGAAAACCTGTATTCTGTATATATGTTTCTACCTGGGCATGGTGCAGTGAGAAACAGGCAAGGGCATAATGGATGCTGGGGTTGTATTAGTGTTGAGGCTCATAAATACAATGTGTATGTCAAGTTCTGTACTGACCAGCTGAGCAGGAAATAAATTGTTCTGAACTGTCAATCTCCACAAAGGTGATGATGCATGACAGTAAAAGCTTGAACTTTAAAAGCCTTGTGGCTTAATTGTTTGACCACATTTTAAAATCAAACTTCTTGTATTAGTGGTAGAGCTCTGTACTGTGTGTTAGGAGATGCTCTGGATATCTGCACTTAATCTCTTGATGTCCTCACTTGACTAAAAATGCTGGAGGATGTTGTATGAGACAAAACTGGGTAAGACAAATGAAAGTTGTATTTGCTATGTGTGAAAGTTCTTTACGTGGATGTAAGTATTTGCGTTTGTGAGGTGCTATGTTCTTAACTCCATTTTGATTGTTATTACAGTTTTTACATGTGTCCAGATTTCAACCCACCCACTTCTGCATGATGCAGGGTTTGCCTGGATCTATCAAGTTCAATTGCTGTTAGTTGTATGGGGCCATGGTACAATACAGACTTAAAAGAAGGAACTTACTTTGTGTGTTTATATTTAGATATAATAAAGAATCTAGAACTTGGGCTTAGAAAGCATTGGGCTGAAATAGGAAGGCAGCTGGATGACTCTAGTTCTTAAGGCAGACTTTCTTGTTGAGAACAAGAGTTTGTCCCTTATCAGGTTCCATTTTTATATGTCAGTAGTGAGGAGTGGATGAAAAATGGGCTCTGCAACTGATTTGCTGTGGCTAGGTACCCTCTATTTTTAGATCGCTTAACATATCAGTGCCTCATTGCTCTCTTGGTGGATGGTTTCACTGACATCCTTGTATTGAAAACTGGGAGGCAAGTGCATGTGGTAGAGAAACAGCAGCAGAAATATATGGAGATTTGTTTTTTAAAACTGTGGCCACAGAGGAAGATTCCAATCTTTTTAAGTAGATCCAGAGTTAATGTGAAGCTCAGTTCTTCCTCATCCCGTAGGTCTGTTGTGGCTTAACCTGGCAGGCAGCTCAGAACCCCACAGTTGTTTGTGCTTTCCTCTCCCAGTGGAAGAAGGGGGAGGACTGGGAGGAAGAAAAACAGCAAAGTAGAACTTGTGGGTTGAGATAAAAACGAACAAAAACTACTTACTAAGAAAGAAAATGAAAATAATATTGACAACAATATGTATTTACAAAACAAGAGATGCACAGTACAGTTGCTCACCATCTTCAACCAATGCCCAGCCAGTCCTTGAACAGCAGCTGACCCCCTGGCCAACTGCTCTTGATTTCAGTTTCTTCATTCATTATGGTATGGAATCTCCCTTTGCCCAGTTTGGGCCAGCTGTTCTGGTTCTATCCCATCCCAGCTCCTTGGGCCCCCTCAGCTACCCTCACTGGCAGGAACAAGAAGCTGAAACATTCTTGGCTTTGCATCCACTGCTCAGTAACAGCTAAGACAGGGGTGTGTTAGCAACACTGGTTTTCTCCCAAAGTAAGGGGGAAAAAGAAAAAGCTTTGTACCAGACACTATGAAGAAAAAATCAGCTCTGTCCTAGCTGAAACCAGGACAAGGCCTTTAAAAGCATTGAAAAATAAACGAGAACTAATTTATAATTCAGAATGTTGTGCTGCAGATTACAAAGTTACTAAAATTACAAGATGAAGCTAACATGGATTTAGAAAGTCATTATTTATCATATGGAAGGAAGGCCTCTTATTTATGATATATTGACTGTATTTTACACAGAGTAAGCAGAATTGGAAAGGATGTTCTTTGTAAATACAAGACAAGGGAAAGCAAATGTTCAGGGTGGCAAGTGTGGGGAAAATGGGAGCATGGAGAAGGAGAATATATACAGTATTCAAATACATATAATATTCAAGATGCGTATATATAGATATATATAAAGTTATTGTGCTTCTTTTCTTGAAAACCTTTCGGTGAAGTATAAGTTCTCATGCTGATAAAATCTGTCATAATTAATCTCACTCAGCCTAGAGTTGTTTATTGCAGTATTCTTTAGGTACTGAAATCTGTGCTGCTTTTGATTTTGCTGCCTTGCCTCACTGAACTGAGTTTCTTGTGCTTCCTAGGACTTCTCGTTTTGCTTCGTTTCCTCAGTACTTGGTGGTGCAGATAAAGAAGTTCACCTTTGGCCTTGACTGGATACCCAAAAAGCTTGGTACGTGCCTTTTGTACTTACCTGTTTCTCATTCTATTCAAGGTAACCCATGTGCATTTTTTTCTGTAACAAGGACCTGGTTTCAATCTCAGGTTTATTTCAAGGATTACTTGATCCTAAACAAATTCTTTTTATTATTATTTTGTTAGTTTGTATTTTTGTCAAATTAAGCCAAGTGCTGATTGGTTGTGTACCCAGGTTCCTTTCTCTGAAGGAGTTGGTTGCTCTCTGAGGTCGTTTTGCTGGGTTCATAAGCTTAACTCGTTTCTCTGCTTCTGCAGATGTTTCAATAGACATGCCAGATTTCCTAGATATCAACCACCTTCGAGCCATGGGTCTCCAGCCAGGAGAAGAGGAACTTCCTGACATTGCACCTCCCATCATCATTCCTGAAGACCCAAAAGGTACTGATTTTTGTCCTCCTGATGTTCACTATGAAACAAAAAACCTAGTACCTGAAACTGTGTCAGATAAATGCTTTGTCAAAATTCAGCTCTCTGGAGGTTTTAATTTTGACCCTTATCTTAAGTTCTTTATCCAGATCATTTATCCTCTTGCTAAAACTAAGTCACGTCATTGAGCATGTTTGGATGATGGAGCTTTGTTGATGACAGATTAGATTCTTTCTTATGTTGGTTTAGGTCAGCTGCCAGTTGTATTTCCTGCTGGTTTATAGTACAAGAGGCTTGTTGTTCTGGATTGTCTGAGAAATGTCCCAGGTCTAATTAAAGACAAAATATCTGGGATAGAAAGATGATCATTTTTTGCCTATAATGGTACTAGGACCTAAAGAAAATTTAAAAAAAAAAA